TTGTTGTTGTTTTTTTTTACTTGTTTGTTTTTTGAGGCAGAGCCCTGTGTCAATAATCAGCTCTGGAAGTTTGGGCGTGATTCAGAAGTAAGAAGATAAAACAGGTAGAAAAATCATCTTTTCCACCCGACATCTGCAATCCTTGGTCCACTTTATCCCTTAATTCAGTCTAGCCTACCTTCCTTCCGCCCTTGAGGTATACTTGGATCAGTCTGAAGCATTATGATAATTCATCTGTTTATTGATTTGAAGAATTAAATTTGCTATCGGTTATTCTTCTACAAGGGAGTTTACAACGGCTGCCAAATGAATAAGTTTAGAAATGCTGATCCCAGTTGTTGTCTCCTGACAAACACGATCACTAACGCAGGACGTAACCTACAAAATGAACGACGCACTTAAGAAATTTTGGGATTGCGTTGTTTGATCAGCTCTTGCAGGGCCTTGTGCTAGCATAATTTGGGAAATAAATAAGTGTTTTGTTCAGTTCTTATAATTTATTTTTAGAGAGCGTGGTAACACACCGTCTTTATCGGCCGATATCGGATACTACTAAATTTCCTGCTCCTTTCGGTGTGTCCAAAGGGCGGAAAAAGGGGGCGGGCGTTCCTCGGGCCGAGACTCGAAGTAACCGGCAATCTTTAATTTTAGTAGAGAACTAAAATGTATCTGAAATGTAGATGCCTTAAGAAATAGCTGAGTCCCACTCTAAGCCCCTGGAATCCCTGTTTTTTTTGTCCTGAAGCACCGGTGTCCCTTACTTTCTGGGGGCCTCATAACCTTAGCTGCTTTAGACTACGAGTAGTTCCCATTTTTCCTCAGGGATAGTAAAACGAGCGAAACGCGAGTGCGCGTGAAAATCACCGCCATGCGAGAGAGGCGACACGCAGTGGGGAGAGAGAAAAATGAGGAAGGAAGTTATAACTAGATGATACATCTACCCGCAGGTAACTGCCTTGTTGGCGATGATATAAGCATCCAAGCCTGCTCTTACGACGAGATGAAAACGATCACACCCCAACAAACAGATAAATATTAAATTTTGATCACTTGTTTGTTAGTTTCACACAGTAAAGCGCAATTAAGTGACACTTTTTCAAACCGGCCCCACCAAAAGAATGGACTTTAAACCTCTTTTGAAATCTCTAAGGAAATGATTTATTTTTTTGCACGACCCGTGAGGAAATTGAAAATCTTAGGAAGTAAAGCACGATTTGAAACTAGGGAAACCACAAACCGCATAGACACACAACAAACGTTTGATTTTGTGTGGCTAACAACCATTTACTTCCGTCTCAAAACAGTAACACGCCAAACATGACAACGAAGAAGTTCATTTTACAACTTTTATTCAGTATTAATGTTACGATTTTAACTTTCAACTAAGTTCAAAACACACAAATCAAGGATTTGGCTTGAGGAAGAAAAACGATTTTCTCTCTTACCTAACTTAAGTGGTGGCTTTTGCTTCGTTGATTACCACCCGTGCGGCCAGTTGCTGTTCAGGAAATCAGGCTGAGAAGAACGCTTCCGCAAAAAGTATTTGGAAAGCCTCAAACCACCTGGACGTTTATTTTGTATTGTACCATGAACTGTTTGTCATCTTTGCTTGCGTTTTAAATTACTCAACAAAGTTCCGAAAAGTACGTTTAATGTTAAGCTTTTATTCAAGTAAAATAGAGTAATAAATCGTCTAGTCTTTACTGAAACTTGCGGTACAAAAATTAGAGAGTTGAAATTGTTCGGGTAGCTTTCACCATGTTTTATTTTGCGGTCGTAACCAAACCAACAAACATAAAATACGACCTGACTATTCTATAAAAACGGATCTCACTCTTTCAATTCCCTTCACTGATTGAAAACTTTTTGGGTAAGAGGCTTTTTTTTATGCAAACCCAATGGTTTTGGCAATCTTTTACTTTTTCTTAGAATGATCTTTATGTTTGTTACCTTTCCTGACTGACGTTTGATCTTGTGATAGACTATTTAAAACCTGTGGTTAAAACTTCTTAAGAATGTCTACATCATGTAAATCCGGTATACTCTGACTCTTAATTCTGACTAGGCAGCTTTGTTCAGTGTCCACCATAAACATTTATGAAGAGGTGTTTATAAAAACTGTCTGCATGCTAGAAGTATATATAGCCTCTTGATACCCTCAAATTAAAGATTTATTGTCCAAAATGCAGGTGAATTTCAATGGAGTTCAAATTCTTTATCATGACTGCTTCCAAGTTTAAAAAGTGAAAGATAACTTCTTCATCGTGCTTTCATATTTTGCATTAAACGTCGCGTATGGAAGTTTTATGTCAGAGTCGAGTGCAGTGGAAGTCATACCAAAAAGTGAATATGACTAAATGCACGTACAGGGCTGTTGTTTTGCTGATACGGTGGAACCTCTGTACAGGGGACATCGTCGGGACCAAAGAGGTGTCCCAAAGGAGAGCCGATTGCGTCTTATCGTTGCAGTCGTGGTTGCTTAAGCTTCCTATAGGTATTAGTTATTTCGCAATGTACAATAGGAGAACCTCAAAATAGTACCTTGGTAAACTACTGAACGGGAAAAAAATGCAAGCGTAACCAAAAAAGGCTGAAAGACGCTTTAAGATGAACGATGTATTGACCTGGATTTTTCAAACGGAAACGCCTTTAGTTATAGCATGATGTGCCTTTTTTAACCAGACGTATTCTATATCGTCGTCAGGGGGTATTATTTTGGCCGATGAAACACAAACTGCGGAAGATCGTCAAAGAATAAACGGCGGGAAACTAGATCACTGGCGAACGAACCAAACTTAGTGAGCTAAGTTCATGAAAACTTCGACGTTAGGATCAGTTAAGTTCTCTGACTTTGATCGTCCAACACGTTCTATCCGTCTGCCTAAGACGGATAGAACGTCTGAGGCGCGTTTGAAAATCGTCTCCGGGACAAAAGTCGATCTTCACATTCAGCGAACTAAACTAATATACTCTAAAAATTTGTATGATGATGAAAATTTATGAAAATTGTTTTTGGTTCTGGTTCAGTTGATTGGTTTGACGCATCCTTAGTTCGACGTCTGAACTAACAGACGATCTTAACTTAATTTAGATTGTCGCAAATTAGAGTTTGGTTCGTCTCATGAAAAGTTGGACGTTGGGCCTAGGCCTTAGTTACGATACATCGCGTTAGCCTAAGGAAACGATACTAAGGATACGTCCACACGAAAGCTAATATCGCTTCAGGCTACGTCTTTCCGAACAGGAAATCTTTGAACCGTTCGATTATATACGCTAATGACGTCCAAAGAAAGAACTAAAACGCGCAATTACCCTTTCACTTTTGTCCTCTAGATAACTTAAAAAGATCACTTGCAATTTTTGACGCACTCTTTTGCATCGCACAAAATTGTCTTTATCATTTAATTATTAGTATTTTGCTGAGGGTTAAGAATTAATGGCTTAGGATGTAGGACTTTAACCTGACAAACTTTAAAAAAGATAGGCTTAGTTTTGAAAACGCAGAGGCCTTCACTTACCTGCTTTAAGAAGCTGCTCTAGCTTAAAAAAGAAACGTAATTTACTAAGAAAAACGAATTGTGTCTTTTCAGATGTCATCGCTTTGGTTTTACCTTTACTAGTAAACAAGGATTGTTCTGGCGGGAGTAACGCTTGAATTGCAGATTTTAATCTCCAAAAAAAAGGCATGCATCACCTCTTTGAAATCAGGATAAGAGTGATCTGTAATTTTTCAAAAGGTTGATTCTAGAAAAAGGCTGACCGTAAAATTCAATTGATTGTGCACTAATCTTGGTCCCTTCAGTAACTATAAAATCTCTTGTTAGCTTTTGTTGGCAGATGAATTCAATACCTGAACGGCCGATTGTTTTAATAAGGCTCGGTACATGAAATCCCAAAGTGTTACTTAACATTTTTGTTGAGCTTTTTTTGTGGTGTATAATTCGATTAAAGAATGAATTATGGAAAAGAGAATTGTTACATGTACTATTGAATGCATATTAACTTTTCAGTCTGGAAGGTCATGAAACCCTGAAAGCTACTGTCCAGCAGGTCTTTCTTTCATGTCAGAGGTTGAAACCCGAAAGCGTCACAGTTTAAATAACGGTTACGCTGAAGTATCTCTGATGTAGTACTTTCCTGTGGCGTACTGTCTGTTCCTGGTACTACCTTTTAAGCTTTCCTGACTTGTTAGCCACAAAAACTTCCCTGGCGGGGTTCTGTTAAAAATGTTTCTCTGGCTTACTAGTGAAAGACATGGTTACCATGTGACTTTTATATTAAGCAGTTTTGGATACAAAAATTGCTATGTAACACCCACGAATATTATATTTTAGCAACATCACGAATTCAAATGATTTCCTCATAATTTAAGCTTATAAATATCACGTATTTCCCTTGGCTGTTAATACTGATTTGTGCTCTAGAGTGCCTCCCTTCGACTTTTATTTTGCAATCCATCACGTTTAGTTTGTTATGAAATTCGCGGCATTTGTTTTTTAGTGTTCCTGATAAGCTGTACACTTTTAAAACACGTTAACAGGCGGAAGATTATCAGCTGCATGTTAGTAAAGAACAGATTTATTCATTTCCTCGATGTTAAATGACTACAAGAGTCATTTAGAAATGATAACAGCGTTGAAAAATTCTTTCCCCAAGTCATTCTACTCCTAAATTGAAAAACGTGACGCGCAAGTTATAAACGGTATAAGTGAGACACAAAATGTATTGATTCATGCAGTGCTTTGTAATTTGTCTATCATAAGTTAAGATAAGTTTTTTGAAACCTCATCTTGTCCGACCTGATGAACTTGTCGAATGTGTTATGAAACACACTTAAGTGGCTTTAAGAGTGCTAAAACTTCCGAGCACACGTGCATCGTTACATGTTCGTAGCTATAAAACCCACCAGATCGAGTTGCAAATCCTCAGAAAGGAACATCCTTCACTGGCAAAAGAACAAATCAGAGTAGAAACTAAAAAGAAAGTTTAGAATCTCGAAGATGACTTTTAGACTGTGCATGAACATCTTTGGAATCGCCTTAGCTTTTGTTATAGTGACCCTGTCATCAAGAATTTCAGAAGAGATCCGAAAAGGAGAAATGCTCAGAACTGGTGTTCGTCTGCTGCACTTATTCTCTTTTGGAACATGGATGGGCATGCAATTTTGGGTGACATTTATTGCCGGTGAGTAGAGAATATTTTATCAGTGTATAAGTAATAGAATGCATGTCGAAAAATGGTTATTTTTTTTCCTGCGAGACTAACAGGCCTTCATGGCGTCTAATAAAACATGTGAATGTAATTTCAGTAGACTAGGCCAGGTGGGGTATGAATGTAATTTTTGTTTCTATTAAACAAACATGTGGACTTCTTACAGCTTTGATAAAACTGACAGAAAAACCCAAACTTTACGTAAATTTCAGAACAATCTTCCTCGTGTGAAAACTGACAAAATTTTCTACAGTCAATTTAAACAGGGAGTTCAGTGCATATGAATGATGAAATGAAACAAAAAGCCTTTGTTTTCCTTGTTTTGAAGCTTGTTCAATCAGTTCTTGTTGTTTTCCAGTGTCCGTGGAATTATTTTTTTCGCTGTTTTATACTTTAAGAGAGTTCAGAAGGGTGTTTTAGGAGGTTTTCTACATAATAGGCTTTAAGAAATGTACTAAGACTGAAAAGGGGGGTGACGTTGGTCAAAAAACTGCGTACGTAGCAAGTAAGCCTCTCTAAAGCTGTAAGCGGATTAACGTCGCTTTGTAATCGATTTAGGTCAAGTCCTTTCTTGAGTACCTCGACGTTTCTAGACAACCTTTGGTTTATAATATGCGACGCCTTTTCTATGTGGGGTTCAACTTGCCGAGTACTTTACTAGTTTCACGCAATAGTTTGTTTCTTTCGTACTTTTAAAATTTCTGACCGGCTACTATTCCCAGCTGATAAATTAGTAACCATGGCTGTTTCAATTTCAAGCTCTGTGCGGGATTTTAGAAATCTTTTTTTTTTTTTTTTGAGCTGTTGTGTCGTGATATTTGCAGAGAACACGAGAACTTTTGAAGTGGTTTGCATTGCTGAGAGAAACAACAACGGATAGAAAACAACAGCCGTTAAAAATTGATTTGTTTTCCAAAACAAGTCGTCATTCGATGCCTCGCCCCCCTCAGTAAGGCTGAGATGGCCTTATGGTCTTTGCAAACACTGGAGGAATTACTTGTTAAATGTCTTCTATTCAAACACGAAAATCGGCCTTTGTCAGAAATAAAACGATTATACTTATGAATAGGTTTAAGAATAATCTTAAGAACAGGTGTTATTTTTCCGCGTTTTTTCAAGCGAGCGTAGGACAGCGCGAAGCATCCTTCTCACGTCGCGCGTGTTTCATGCTGTCGCTTGCCTGATAAACAGGCAAAAAAAAAAAAAAACGCCGGTTCTCCACAGGCCAGCTTGTGAAGAAAGAAGCTTTTATGTTACAGTCTCGAAACACCCGGACTCAATTAAAGTACCAAAAGCGCGAAGTCGTACAAACAGACACGCAGTTGCAGTGGCACGTGAAATGAAACATGAATTTCTCTGTAATGACCTTGCATAACGCCTGTACTGTGTTGAAATATCTCGGTTCATGTTACTTCCAGTCGCTAATTGAATTTGCAAGTCGAAAATCACGAAACAAATGGTATTTGTTGCAGGAGTGGGTGGAGAGGGAAACATAACTTGTTTGCTTTTTAAAACAGTAAAAACTAATGGTGTGCTAATGCTTCTTTTCTTAGGATTCAATTTTCTCATTCCTGTACTCCTCAGACTGAACTTAAAAAAAAAAAAATAATTAAGACTTCAGAGGACCCCTCCACGCTGCGATGAATCTGCAACCGGTGCACTAGACGTCACTCAAAACACGAACAGTAGAAAAACACCTGCATTGGGGTAGCTTCAATAATTTAAAGTTTTTGGGTGGAGCACGTCCCCAAACCCTCCTAGTTAACGTTACTCTTGCCTGCCGCGATCTTGATCTTACCTCGTCTACACTAAAAGTGCGGTCATGATCGAAAAGCCAACAGAGAACTTAGAAATCTTTGCACTTGTCTTGCCTTTCAGGTTACAAAATGTACTTTACCTTGACCAGACACACCTTTGGCCGTTTACAAAGCGAACTTTTTCCTGTTTATTTCGCTGTGGGTTCATGTTTATCAGCTGTCGCTTTGACTACGTATTACCTTATGCACCCTGTGCAGCTGTGGAATGGATGTGAAAAATTACAGGTAAAGTTGCAACGAATAACCTTTAAATTAAATTACCTCTGGTAGTACTGGAAGGTTTGTTCTGGCGAATCACGTGGCTTTACTGCCGCGCTATCCCTGCATTAGGGTTCGTCTCCAGGTCAAGATGATTGACTGACAGACTATCCGTTGTTCAAAACTGAGATCGTTGGAATGACCAGTCATTCCCTCCTCTCTTGATTTTTCTTTTTCATTTTAAGGGATTACGTCATGCTATTTTCTATCTTTTAAAAGAGCTACAACGTTTTTTCGAGTCGCACCAATTGAATTTTAAACCTAATGGTACAGTTTAAAAGACAGTATTTAAGCATTGAACATATTTTCTTTTATCTACTGCTAAGCCTGCGCGAAGAGCGAAGAGAAACGGCTGTTTTCCCAGGCTATCTGCTGCTTCGGATAGCAAAAATGGACATGTATTGAAACTTGAAAATGTTTTACCAACTTTTTTAAATTATAATGCTATGCCCGCAAAAATAACCAAGACAGTTATTATTATGGTTAGTGCTTCTAGTCTGCTACAGAGGAAAATCCTTAAATAACAATGACCGAGACCCGAGGTTTATGAGCCCGCGAGACTAAGCGCCCCAGCCAAACCCTTGTTTTCACTTTAACCGCTGGACGCCAACCTGGTTGAAGTCATTGTTATCAATTAAAGGTCTTGAGCTATACAGCAGTTCTCTGTTTCGTCTGTCACGGAACGCTCCTCGCCAAAACACGGGAGGAGTATTGTGGGTAGCCTGCGCAGTAGGCGCTTGGAAGCAGTGAGCGCAAGAAAGAACGGGCGCGTGAGAGGGAGACACGCGTGTCTCCCTCTAGCGCGTCCGTTCTTTCTTGCGCTCACTAATTCCAAGCGCCTGCTACGCAAGATACGTCATTGTGACGACACGAAGAACGGCTGTGTAGCATAGCAGACTCTAGTGCTCTCTGATAAAAATTGTTTCATGTCTTCTACAGGAGCATTTTTTGTATAGGTACAGGGTAAAGGCACTAAGTCATGAATTCAGCAGAGAACTGATGTAAAACATCCATTATTCCCTCGTGACATTTAATAGGAGACTGCTATTCGTGATGATTAGGCCTATCAGTGATTTGCAATATAAATAACTGAATTGTTGCTGCTTACCGTTTTTTTCAGATATCTGGTCTCGCTGTTTCGATGTTAGCAACCATGATCAACGCCTTATATCTTGAACCTAAGGTCGCTACCATTATGAATGAAAGGTACACATATGAGAAGGAACACGGATATGGTGACGCTGTGGGTCCCATCAAAGATGAGGCCTTCAAGCTGGACGAGACCTACTTGGAGATGACCCATCGGTTTTGCATGGCTCACGGTTTCACATCCATGATAAATATTCTCTCTTATACGGGATGTATTCTTCATTTATGGTACTTGACAAAAAGTCAGGCTATAGCGCTTTAATAACTAATTTATTTTAATTAAAATTTCAGAGGCTCTTAAGAGAGTGTCTCTGTAAGAGCGGTCCGGTCGATTTTCCTTGAGACACAGATTTAGCTCATTTCTTGTGTGTTGTAAGACATTCATGTACCTATACTAAAACCACAATCCGTTTGATCAGATCTCTTTATTTTTCAGCGTTTTACGGAAATTAAATTTCACTCGACCGAAGGCCTGTCGTGACACTTTTCAAGACGTTAATTTGAGGCAACTTTGCCGGACAATTTACAACAAACTACGGGACTCAGCAAAAAACAAATACCACAGCCATGTATATTAACTCTATCTTATCCATCGAGGCGACTTTCGTGAACATCACGTTTCAATCAAGCAAACAGGAAGACTTGAACGACACCTTATCGGTTCGCTTAAGTCACACACGCGAAAACCGATCAAATTCAAGTTACATTTTTGAAAAAGTGAGGCGTTCTTAACTGATCCAACTAATATAGCTAGGAAGTAGGTGCCATAGAAAAGGTAACTACAGAAAAAAACTTTGCGGCCCGACCTTTACTAAAACTTTATAACTCCGTGAACTTACCTAATTTTCGGCAATCTCCAAGTTTTGCCGCCATTTTGAGGGACTTGTAAACATGAAGTGTAGCAGATATAAATCGAGCAGGCAGATCTAAAACAGTCAGAAATACATACGAAAGTATTTAAATGAACTTCACTTTCAATTCAAGGGGCAAAATTTGAAATTGTTCGTTAAACCTACCATTCCTACATCCCCATGCGACCATTTCTTCCAACAATTCAAACACTACAACTAGTGACCACTAGTGTTCGAATTTCCTTGTCGATTCCACCGTAAGAAATAACCTGTGCCACCCAAGCTTCGACTCGAATGTGAAGTACGAATCAAACAACATAACTGCGTCATCTTCGAGGCCATATCACGCTGGTATTTTGATTTTCTGATCGACAAGAACGGTGATCCGGAGGTGATCGCCATGTTTACCTCATAAAGGTGACCGCTGACCAGCCGCTGAATGAAAACAGCACGGCGCAGGGTGGTACGTGTGGGTCACACTAAAAAAGCTTTGGGACTCTCAGTCTAAACAGTGAAGGCATGCTTCGTGGTACAGACAACTTTTATTTTATTCTCATAACTTTTTCCTTTAAATTAGAACTGGTATTAATTAATAGTTATTTAATTATTTTTAACTGAGGTACCCATATGACTTTTTTGCTTGTCCTCAGTGGTATAAAATAAGGTGTCTTTTCTTCCAGAACTTTTTATTTATGCGTTATTGCACGGAATGAACACTATACTTAAAAGGTTTGTTCTAAGTCATTTTGCTGTTCCCAAGAATGTATGCAAAATCATAGCTTTATACAAAGCTGACACTAAAATATGATTTTCCGTAACAGTAACCAATGCCATTTAGGTAAGGTGTTAATAAAACTAGCAATGTACAATTTTTAGCGTTTTCCACTTATAAGACTGACATACAATTGTCAAGTGAACTATGTTAGTTTCAACTCATTCCTTGATTTGATGTGACCTTTTATCACTAAACCTCATTCTTTTCATTTGCAATTTTCCTGTACTTTTTTTTTCATATGACAACGACAAAGAGTTTTATAAGTAAACCGATTTTTTGGTGTACCACGCTTATTACATTTTATATTCAAATACATGCAAAAGGCCGGCTAAATAAGCTCCTCCCCCTGCTCCTAATTTTTTGGGTTGCCTTCGCCCCATGCCTCTGACGACTCCCTGTCGGCTAAAAGGAAATTTGAAAGACTGCTATGCAGGACACATTTTCTTTTTCTTCATTTTCATTTTCCCTCTACAATTTTTATAAGTATGAAAAATATAAAAAAACAAAAGGTTTTTACAAGTAAACTGCTTTTTTTTTGTACCACTCTTAATATATACATATACTTTGTTCTCGCAAAATGGTGGCTAAGAACGGCTGAATATATACCTACTTGGAAATAAAATGATGCTGTTTGGTTTCCCGTTAAAACATTACGTAAGAGTGACGCGTGTCCGTTCAAATTGTGACAAAACCACCTCACAAAGTCAAAGCAAAAGAGAAAAAAGTGTAATTTTCATAGCCAACTTACAATCTCTCCTTTTTAGACCGCTACAAGGGCCATTGGGTCACTGCTTGATGGTGTAATTATCCTTCCACTGAGCACTGGAATTCATGGGTCATTTCCTTTATTTTTGACATTAGAACAGCTTTGAAATCTCTAGATTTAAGCTGGGTTGAAAAATCCTCATCCCTTACCCTTTCAGAAGACGACAGTACCAATCTTATCAAGAGACAGGGTAGCGAACCTTTCCAGTCGAATTTAAGTGAAGGATGGGCACTTCATAAGCCTAAAGGTGGCGCTGTTCGCTTCTAAGAGAAAGTAAGGCAGTATCTCACCTCCAAGTTTGAAATTGGTGAGCAATCTGGAAGGAAAGAGGATCTGCGACAAGTCTCGCAACATATGAGGAAAGCGAAGGGGGAAAACAGGGAGGGCCTGTTTTCCCGGGAAGAGTGGCTGACCAAAGCCCAAATACAAGGATTTTTCTTCCGTTTGTCCTCCTCGAGATGGAGACGGGTAGGTTCGTCTCCGAGCACCGCGGTTGACGATAAATCTGACGAGGAATTAATTGACGAGGAAGAAGTGAATCACATGACCACCGTCGAATCACTTGTAACAGAAATTGGCTTAACGCATCCGATTGTCTATGACATTGTGACTTGTGTGACTACGTCAAGGAGGGAAAATTGAACTATTTTACTGTTTCCATACTTAAGGAAATCTGTACTTTCTTCGAGCTCCCATTTAAATGGGAGTCGTGCAGAGGCATGGGGCGAAGGCAACCCCAAAAATTAGGAGCAGGAGGAGGAGCTTATTTAGCCAGCCTTTTGCACGTATTTGTATATACAATGTGATGAGCGTGGTACACCAAAAAATCAGTTTACTTATAAAACTCTTTGTCGTTGTCGCATGAAAAAAAAAAGTACAAGAAAATTGCAAATGAAAAGAATGGGGTTTAGTGATAAAAGGTCACATCGAATCAAGAAATGAGCTGAAACTAACATAGTTCACTTGACAATTGTATGTCAGGCTTATAAGTGGAAAACGTTAAAAATTGTACATTACTAGTTTTATTAACACCTTACGTAAATGACATTAGTTACTGTTACGGAAAATCATATTTTAGAGTCAGCTTTGTATAAAGCAATGATTTTGCGTACATTCTTTGGAACAGCAAAAATGACTTAGAACAAACCTTTTAAGTATAGTGTTCATTCCGTGCAATAACGCATCAATAAAAGGTTCTGGAAGAAAAGACACCTTATTTTATACTACTGAGGACAAGCAAAAAGGTCATATGGGTACCTCGGTTAAAAATATTTAAATAACTCTATTAATTAATACCAGTTCTAATTTAAAGGAAAAAGTTATGAGAATAAAATAAAAGTTGCCTGTACCACGAAGCATGCCTTCACTGTTTAGACTGAGAGTCCTAAAACTTTTTTAGCGTGTATATCTTATCACGATAAGTTCGCCACCCACACCACCCCGCGGCGTACTGTTTTCACTCAGCAGCTGGTCAGCGGTCACCTTTATGAGGTAAACATGGCGATCACCTCCGGATCACGGTTCTTGTCGATCAGAAAATCAAAATACCAGCGTGATATGGCCTCGAAGATGACGCAGTTATATGTTGTTTGATTCGTACTTCACATTCGAGTCGAAGCTTGGGTGGCACAGGTTATTTCTTACGGTGGAATCGACAAGGGAAATTCGAACACTAGTGGTCACTAGTTGTAGTGTTTGAATTGTTGGAAGAAATGGTCGCATGGGGATGTAGGAATGGTAGGTTTAACGAACAATTTCAAATTTTGCCCCTTGAATTGAAAGTGAAGTTCATTTAAATACTTTCGTATGTATTTCTGACTGTTTTAGATCTACCTGCTCGATTTATATCTGCTACACTTCATGTTTACAAGTCCCTCAAAATGGCGGCAAAACTTGGAGATTGCCGAAAATTAGGTAAGTTCACGGAGTTATAAAGTTTTAGTAAAGGTCGGGCCGCAAAGTTTTTTTCTGTAGTTACCTTTTCTATGGCACCTACTTCCTAGCTATATTAGTTGGATCAGTTAAGACCGCCTCACTTTTTCAAAAATGTAACTTGAATTTGATCGGTTTTCGCGTGTGTGACTTAAGCGAACCGATAAGGTGTCGTTCAAGTCTTCCTGTTTGCTTGATTGAAACGTGATGTTCACGAAAGTCACCTCGATGGATAAGATAGAGTTAATATACATGGCTGTGGTATTTGTTTTTTGCTGAGTCCCGTAGTTTGTTGTAAATTGTCCGGCAAAGTTGCCTCAAATTAACGTCTTGAAAAGTGTCACGACAGGCCTTCGGTCGAGTGAAATTTAATTTCTGTAAAACTCTGAAAAATAAAGAGATCTGATCAAACGGATTGTGGTTTTAGTACAGGTACATGAATGTCTTACAACACACAAGAAATGAGCTAAATCTGTGTCTCAAGGAAAATCGACCGGACCGCTCTTACAGAGACACTCTCTTAACCGTCAAAAATGTAGGCCATATTCAATGTTTCATAATCGGACAAGCGCCCAGCGCGAGTTCGATTTGAAATCACAAGTATAATTTCAGACCAAAATTGGTCTCCACTCAGTTCAATTACCACTTTATCACAGCCATTCTGAAATCGCAGAATTTAAGCAGTACCAATATTTTATTGATCAAGTAGCCGGTTTGTTGAAAAGCGGCAACAGAAAGGCTTTTACCTCTCCTTTTGTATTCGAAACAGAAATGATGCGATATAGAACAAAAGTGGTGCGATTTAAAACAGAAATGATGCGATTTAGAACATGAATGACAAAATTTAGAGCAGGTGTGATTTCCAAAGAAACATACTTACTTCTAATATCGCCACTTTAGAAACTAGGAGGGAGGTGGAGCCAGAAATTCGTCCTGCAATTGATTCTGGGATGGTTACTGGGAACGCGCCGGTCAGCTATTGACGTGACCAATTTTTTCACCTGTCCCTATTAACAGCCCCAGAAGTCATTGCGAAAATTAACTCTGCCCTGTTTTCTTTTCGTTTCTAAAGTGGCTCTGTAATTAGTCGCTAGATTAATCTAGCGCCCAGATCGCTGGCGTTTTTTTGTCACCCGCCTCACCTTGAGAGGTCTGGTTTCAAGACTATAGATGGACCTCAGGATTATTCATTGTGCGTTTGGCTGCACTTGCTATGTATACATATCTAAATATGCCTCAATGGGTTTAATATTTATTGACTTTATTTAGGTCTACTTTTAGCGCTTTTTTTCTCTGGGTGCGCAAGCAAAAAAAACCGTAAGAAAAGAACTACATTTGCAATTTATCTCGTAAGATATTTATATGACAGGGAAGCTTGTGTTTATCATCATAAAAGGGGAAGTGGGCCAAAGCCTTGCAGAATAGTGCATATCAAGCCATGATATATAATCGAATCAACGTAGAGACTATTAAACAGACGTTTTAGCCAAACCTTAAAGTCAGCCGATAACAAAAGCTTTCGCATGCTTAGGGAGGAAAATATTTACAAGCCCAGCCGTTGGAGATCAATGTAATGTCTGCAGCTGAAGCAATTTCAAAATAAAGTGTCATTCAGATCCCTGCCTTAAAGTTATTTAGGTGCTGATGGCTCTGCTTTCAATGATCTAGATATTTATTATTTTTATTGAAAAAAGGAAGAATAAATAAACTGTATCTAGGAGCATAAATCAGTGTTATTTAATAGGCAGTGTACATCGTACTCTGAATTTAATACTTTAAAGAGACTGTAATAAAACATGACTAACTGTCTGTATGATGAAACATTGCCTAAAGGTGTAAGTTAATAAATATAAACTTTTTTTGTGTCAGTTTCCCTGTGTAAGTTTGCTTATTGCCTACAGCTTTGAGCTTTTTCTGTCGTATGAAAGGATTTGTAAAATATCAGGGGCACCCAACGGCAATTTTCGGGAAAATATCTGTTCGGAAGACGATTTGAGAACTAGAATTTTCGGAACATTTTTTGTAAAATCTCTTGCTTGCCTGCCTCTCCTAGGATTTTCGAACATCTACAAAATGGTATAACTACTCATTTTAAACGGATATTTACCCTAAAAAAGGCCACCTAGAATTTTCGGGAGCCTTTTCCTGGCTGAAATTTTCGAAAAGGGAAGTTTTGATCCCTATAATTTTCGGATCACTAGACTTTCAGCTAGGAAATCCGAACAGATGAAAAGTTTTTAGGGGATAAAAATATGCCGATATCTACCGTTTAAATACTAAAATACGTTCAACAATGCTATGTTCAGTGGTTTTGAACTATATCCTCGTTGGGTGCCCCTGAAATATTGTAACTTTTGAGTCTGTAGACGAACCATTCAAATGAAATCTCTTCAGCAAAACTTTCACATGGTACTATTTATTTAATATGTGGTTCTAACTTTTGAGTCTCTGGAATCCTGAAATGAAAGCTTCTGAGCAATACTTCACTGTGGTTTTGTTGCGACTAGAGTGTGCAAAATATGTTAAGTAGCTTCTTCCCGTGAAGGAAGGTGATCATTACATAAAGGTCTGACAGTTGTCTTCCATGATTAGCAGCTTAAAATACTTGAGGTTTTGAAAACTTGTCACATGTCTACGTTGGAACTTCTTATGTGGTAAATATGGTGACCACCCAGCTTCAACAGGTCAAAAATAACCTCAGCTAGACTGGGGACATCAAATTATATTTAATAATATTTGTAAAATAGTTCAAAACAAACTAAGCGTGATACAGACATCAAAATAAAATAAACAAAATGGAAAGAGCTGAGAGCTGCAGATATCGCACGCCTCGAGTTGCCTGCGCGTTTTCCTCTCCTTCCTTGATCGGCCTTTTATTCTGATACCTATTTCCCGGCCTGCTAATCGAACATTCGGTAGTCGAACCTAATCGAACTCCAGTCGTTCGATTGGGGCTTCGATTGAGTTCGGTAATCGAACTTAATCGAACTCACCCAAAAATTATCCCCTGTGCCAATCGAACACAATCGAACGTTCGAAGCTCAAACACTGCAACATCTGGTTTCAAACAAGGCGTCAAATAAGTTGTGTATTGGCTTCAATTTCAAACACGAGTACGCAAGGGAGCAAAGGAGCCAACCACCTATTTTCCACCTACAATGTACCTAGTTTGACCTTCACAAGAAATATTTTGCCATTCGCGTTATTGTTATTTCTTTCACATTTAATGAAGCTTTGTAACGCCAAAAGTGTAGCTTGTATTGCTTCAGTTGTGCAACAGCTTTTACAAACGCCGCTTGTAGTTTTAATAAAAATATAATATAACCGGTAGCTCTGGTAATGACTATTTTTGTGTATGCGCATGCTCTACACTGTTACGTGCGTTCAGATAAAGTTAAGGTGTCCTTTTTTAATCGAAACTTTATCGAAGAAGGTTTGACTTTTCTGGTACCCTAAGATATATCCGCGGTCGGTATTGTTTCGGGAAAGAAAATTTACCTTTTTATACTGTGCCGTTCATGTTTCTCAGTATTAATTGTGAATTTATCTATTTTGAATCGTTTTAACCCAAAGATTTTAGTTCATTCCGGGTTAATTGACATATTTTTTATTTCTAACTGCTTCACATAGTAGAGGGAGATATTTCCGATTCAATTGAAACTGGATGCGTTTTGTCTTTCTGCCGAACAAAATCAAACTAATCGCGTTGATTGAGTTCGGTAATCAGGAGGATCGAACGGCACGAGTTCGATTAATCGAACTCACCGAACAGTTGCAGTTCGATTTTATTTGATTACCGAACCAATCGAACAACAATCCGACCCATTGAGTTCGATTGATTTCGTTTCGTTCGATTAGCTAGGCCGGGATATGTAGATTCAATGGCTACGGTGTACTAAAACCGGCATGGAATTTTTCGACGTTTATCAGTCAGAGGTAGGATAAACAGATGCAGGACAGGGGATTACGCAACAATTGTGATTCTTGATAAATGGCCAAGATTTAATCCTAATCACGTCAGGAATACTTCTCCATATGTTTGGTCAAGTGCAGCACTTGAAACTTTGCCAGTTTGCGTGTTTATGTTTCCTGTCCCTGCGCGCACGCGCGTGGAATACACCTTTTCTTTCACCAGTGCGTCGTAGAATATTTTTTTGGAAAACATGATAGATTGTCTTACTTGGTAATTCAGGTCGCTTCTATTAATACTTTTCAGTCTACAATTGCAAATTTCGCACATAAAGCACGCAAGAATTGTTTTCCTCTTTCACAATGACCCTATTTATGTTTGAATACTCACTTTCTGAGAAAAGTCGTGACACAAACGTTCGATCTCTATCGTGCTTTAGATGATGAAAAAAAATTAGTTTAAGTTTTATCATTCGAATGAAAGCTCAGTTATTGAGCTAAGTTCAATCTTAGTACAAACTGTTAGTTCATTTTTTTTTTCGAATTCTCTTTATTGAAAAACGTGAGAAAAGTTTTCTTTTAGGCAATAAATAGCGGATACCCTGGAGAATTTTGGCCAGGAAGTTGTCGATCGGCCCTGGCAACACTGACCCTATTTCAGTCCGAAAAAAATAATATTCTGTACTCAGGGAGGCCTTCGTGGCTTCTTTAACAATTTTCGATCAAAATATTTAAAATTCATACTTGTTTTAAGCCCTAAGAGCCCCACACTTTAGGGCACGAAACATATATAAGGAGAATGGGTAAGAATACGTGATGTATAGCAGGACTTATCAACAGAAATTCAAAGGATTTGTTTACGATCTTTGCTTTGAAAAGGGACGTGAATAACCCCATGTGTGCCAAATTGAAAGACAGACAGACATCAAATTTTTGTTACTTGAAATATTTATATATCTTAACTGTTCATCAGTAGTATGTCTAAATTAAACTGTGTGCAATTTCACAATTGGTCTCGCCTCCAGCCATTAAACCCTATACCAATTGTAGAACATTTAAGGAGTGGGAGCTACTTACACAGTTAATGTGAGTACAGTCGCCTATGAGCAGGAAAACAGTCTAAAGAAAATATAGATATAGCTCGACGTTGACGGCCTTGAGTTTGCAGCCTTCTAGGACAATAGTTTTATAAAAACCCTGCTCCTCGCTGGTATTCGCGGTAAAAGTTAGCTTAGCTTACTGTAGTACTCCCTCCGTTCGTTTGTTGGAAAAAAAAAAGACGAGATCCCGAGATCCTCCACAGCCACAGCGCTGGACCGGACCGCAGGTCAGATTTTTGTGGCTTCAGTACTTATCAAGGAAAAGAAAAGAAATCAAGGTTAGGGCACAGATCGGCTCCAAGATCGGAACTTTTTATATGCAGAGACCGAAATTCAGGTAGACCTCAGTTCACGTCTTCTTCAGCTGATCAGGATTCATCATGTTTGTCATGTTTTCTTTTGAAAAAGCACTCTCTGATCTGGGCTGGGCATCCGGTAAAACATACATCAATACAATAGAAGTTCTAAATCTGCGACTTTTTCATACTCTCAAAAATCGGATAAAGTTGTCAAGGTTCAAACAGTTATGTGACGTCTTTTGTGCCCTTGAAACAATGCTGCTTTAAGCTAAGACGGAAGGAAAAATACCCGACATACCAGAATTAAAGCTTTCTTGGAACTACACACGGCGAACGTGAAGGATCTCTCTTAAACGATTTCTTTCAACAGGTTTTAGCGTAAAATTTTAGACATATTTGTCATCTCAGCCGGCACCGTAACCAGGAAGTTTATAGCTCTTGAGAGAAAGCCATAATAGTTGGAATTGTCACAACTTACACGGATCACGCGCTCAATAATTATTCTTACTCACAATTACTAGAAAGGAAATTTAATAACAACTACTTGTATAGCAAAAGAAATTAAAGATTTGTGTGGTCACCTCAACTTTAGGCGGCCGGCTCTAATGTAAAATTGCAGCTTCCAAAATTTTCTCCTTTTGTTTCCGCGTGTGAATGTAAGGGAGGGGGTCGCGCGCGACTACTTCCCTCACTCGCGGCTGCCACGCAGGCTATTTTCATTGACCTTTTTTTCAGCTGTGGGAACAATGTTCACGAAAATCATAAAGATTGTGAATTTTCTTCAAGTAAGAATAGATAGATAGAGGTCACCGAAGAACAAGATTTTCAGTGGCGTTTTCTAGTCAGAATTTCGTTTTTTTGCGTTTTTCCGGTCTTTTTCGCTAAGTGGCGCTCGTTTGGATATGCATGGTTGAAAAGATTTCTCTCCTCTGCACAAATCAGCAAGTTTTTTGTCACAAAGAGTTCAAGTCGTGGTTCCAAAATTGCGGTTAAGGGCCGGTTGAGGTGTGAATGAGTTAATTAAGGAACATGCTTTGGATTCTGATGCGCCAAAGGCCGGCAACAGTTTTTTTTAAGTCTCTCCAACATTAATTAAGTGCCATCCTTTGGTTTGCCTTGAAGATCAGATCGGCCATTTTGTGTTTGCTCGTGAAACTGGGGCGAGGGGAGTCGAATCTCATTATGGGACTGTTTGTGGACGAACTTGGACCCACTTTCCCTCTCAACCTTTCAACAGCCAAAAGAAATATATTACAGCCGCTGTTGAAACCCGCCCTCCCCAGTTACACAATTTACTCTATTTCTCTCCCTCCCTCCATCCCTAACATTTTGCGGGCCTCCTCCCCCGAGTTTCGCGAGGTTCTGCCTGATACACGCATTTCTAGTTCTAGAGTGTCGAACTAGAACGGTACGAAACTTTTACAAATTTCTTACTAAACAGCTTGAGAGTTTCACCCACCACTGCGTTTTGTAATGAGATTCCAACCTAGCCGGTGAATATGACGTTTGATTAAAACATTCTCTCGATGAAGAGACGCACTTAAATGGAGTAACGATTTCATTCACAACAAATGGATATCCACTGATCTATTCGTGATTCAGGTATTCCACTGAAAGGTTGACCGCTTTTAAACTTACCCCAGGGTAATTATATTCCAAGGAAAGTTAGTCTAGACACAAACTACAGAACGTGACACTTGAATATCCACCTTTCAAAAGTAATTTGAGGTTAAGGGTATAAGGCGTAAATAATGAAGGAGAACCTTTTTAGATGCAAGTGATGTCAATTAAACGTCCCAATCTCATTCTTCAATAAACGACACTTTGTGAATTAGGAATAAAATAATTAATATTAATAAAGAGAAAGATGGCGTGTCTCCAAAACAGTTGTTTTTCTTTTTTTCAAAATACCTTATTTTAATCTGAATGCCTTTGTTACTAACCTCGAGCTCATTTATCAAAGCTGAAGGTATTGAAAACACTTTCAAAAACCATTTGGAGCGAATTCTTACACCTGATTACCTTATGGTCGCCTTTAAAGCATTTTAAAACTAATGTTTGCACAAGATGATAATTAGTCGGCACACAAAACCCTTAACCTTTCGATTATTTTGATCTCTAAACACCAGTGTAAAGCCAATAATGCAAACAGTTTCTCCAAATTAAAGGTTTTAGAGTATTCAGCAGATGATGAGTTTATATATACTAGCTGAACTTCGTATTCAACTATACGCTTTGAGAGAGGGGAAAGATTTTTTTATGAGTCAGTACTTCATGGGTCAGTTAACTAGTTATGAGTAAGGTCAGCATTGAACACTGAAAATATTGATTAGAGTTCAAGGCACTGCTGACTTTCGTGATTAGGAACAAGCACTGAGCACTGACTATAGTGATTAGGGTTAAAAAGAGTGACTCGAGATGGTTAGCATTTATTTAACTATATGGATTCTTTTGACTCTTGACACATTGCCGATGGATTCACTGACCCATTTGTATTCAAATTCCTCTTGAAAGCGACAGTATATTACTAAATCCATCATTATCACCATCGATAATCTCTATAGAAAAAGAAAGAATTTTTTGATTAAAGGAAACTTTTCAAATGCAGATATGTGTGGTTTTTACCTGCCGCGCTGTTGTTTTAACGTGTGTACTACAGCTGTGTCAAAGTGGCGCTTAAATTAGTGGATTTTTGCAAATTTTCCGCAGAAAGTCGCAGGCTTCAGGAGTGCTAACACCCGAAGCCAACTGAAGCAACATTCTCAAAGCAGTCTGTTGAGGTATGCTACACGACACTATGTTGGTAATTGCAGATTTGATTACTTGTTCTATTTGCAACGGTTTACTGGAGCTGGGGATTCGCAATCCCGGCCTATCTCCCTGTTTTCATGTCTTTTCCTTAAAGTGATTTAACCTGTTGGAACTGAGCTGAATGGACAAAGTACACTTGAAAGAATTAGCAATATTAGTATAATTGCATTGATGATTATCGAAAATAGAGCGCTATGATTGGCTAGTAGCTTCGCTTCAACCCGCTATAATCACCGCGCGGTGATTATAACATTGAAGGCTAGCAGTTTTCAAAATGGCAGCCAGATTTGATGATGTTTCGGAGTCGGAAATTGATCAATTTTAAGAAAATGCTGTTCCTTAAAAGATACTACAAAATTTGGAGTCAAGATATTCAAAGGTAGGTTGATAACATTTATCTTTTGCAAGTAACACAAGTTACTGAAGCTGTATGTTTCCAATTTTTTGCTTTAAAGTGTCGCCAACTTTTAGTAACTTTTGCGAAATATTTTGTTCTGCAGAATGGTTTCAACAGCAGCAAGAGTTCACAAATGAAATCTAAAACACGGAAGTCAATGAATTGAATAACTGGGTCTGGCAAAATTTTACGTTTCCGTGAGGAAAACCGACGGCAGCTATTATAAGAAAACCGGCTTGTTGTCGATCAGAGCCGCCCCTCGACCGACATCTTATAGCCTCGCCAAACAACAAGAAATTTTTTAAATTTTACTTTCTCGAATAATCATCAACGTAATTACACTAAAACAATTAGTCGCCTGAGGTGACTACACCGTAATTTTTAGGGAGTTATTATAACTCCGAAAATGGAGTAAAAATGTTTGGTAAAGGATAACCCCTTTTTGGGGGTTATTTTAACTGCTAATTTAATTCCGAATTTGGGTCATTTTTACTCCTGAAAAATGGTTCTTTTTACTCCCAGTCTGGAGTTAAAATAACTCCGAAATGGGGTTACGTTTACTCCTTAGATAGGTTGTTTTTACTCTTTTTGGAGTTAATTTAACTCTGAAAGTGGAGTAAAAATTTTAGGTACAGCATAACTCCTTTTTTGGGGTTATTTTAACTCCTTAAAATCTGGGGTCACTTTTACTCCTGAAAAAGAGTTCTTTAAACTCCTTTTTGGAGATAAAATAACTCCCCAAAAAAAAACTCCACCGTAAGGAGTTAAATTAGCCCCACTAGAGGAGTTATTATAACTCCTTGAAAATTACTGTGTAATTGTTAAAAATAAATGCAATATAATTCGAGGATTTCAACGCACAAATGTAAACCGCTATAACTTTCTTTTTCTTTACTTAGCCCTACAACTAAAAGGAAAAATCGATCCATTTTACTGGACTATCTATCTATCTTCTTTTCATCAGGGCCTCATTCAAACCAGCCTCGCTGAACTGGGCACCTCTGTATAAATATTGTTCAAAATAAATAAATAAAAATTTACGTCTTTCAGCACTCTTGTATAGCTTCCCCGTGCCCCTTGCATTCATTAAAGAATTTAAGATAAAAATTAAATTTAACAGTTAATTGGACTTGAACTTTCTTAGGGATTGGGTGGAAATTTGGGTGCCAGAGGTGACGAGAGGCGCCAGTTCAGTACAGTTACAAAGACAGCAGTAAGGAAAATGAATCCGTTTTGTACTATTTTGGGACTTGGACTCTTGGAACAACGCAACGTTAAGCTAGATAAAAATGTGTAGAAGGCGAACAATGTTGCAAATTCACATTAACATCAAGAAGTACAAGATAACGGTATTATTGGCTCCAAATGCCTAAATATGTAGCAAATTAAAAAAGCAAACTCAGTAATTAATCAGGGCTCACTACAAAGTATTTGTGAACCAGTGCGCACGTGTGGCATGAAAAAATGACGAATATAAAAAAAACAACAACAACAACAACAATAATAATAATAATAATAATAATAATAATAATAAAAGGAAATAAACAGCTGTTTTATAAGGGATAGCGTAATTCCGCTTTAACTTCTTATTAGTTACCATATTGATGAACATGATGAAAACGGAAGTTAATCCCTCGTGTAAAGTAGTTGGGAGGTTCGGTTTGGGGGAACTTGTACGTACTTAAGAAAATTTCTAGCTATGTTTAGGCTGATGTCCCTAGCTATTATACATGTATATCTTCGTACTCTCTGGCGAGTAAATGTCCCCCCGAAATTCACGCCATTGCGAGCGAAGCGAATAACTTCTCGACCTATTGTAGATCCCTGGTGCTCGTCCGTTCTTGTTGCCAGACGATTATGTTGTATCTTAAATGCCTGTATTTACGCTAAAACCATCAGAACTACGAAATATATAGAGTTATCACCTTCCTCATGCTTAAAATGTGCACTAAATCAAAGATTCAACAGCGGGATCAAAAGGAACAATCTTTTCGGCGGTAAAGTAAACGGTTTACTAAGATGGAAGTTTTAACACTTCAAAAAAGTCAAAAGGGTTTAGAGAAGAAAAATAGCCATCTGTTACATCACGTCTTTAACAATAAAATAATAAATATCGGTGAGTGTTTTTGACTTGGTTGGAAAGCATTGGTTTTTTAGCATTTCTGTTGAACACCGACAAGAGCTGATAAATAGTTTTGAACATGCAGAGACCTCCGCTTAGAGGAATTGGAGGGAAAAGAATTTTTATTGAATATTCTTTAATTTTAGCTCTAATAACTAAACGTCGCCGGCACTTTATCAAAACAAAACCATGTTATTAAAGAAATTGCCCGAAAAATTGTATTGAAACGTTTAATACCAGCCCTTTCTGATTACTAATACAGCTTTTAATTAATAAGCCTGATGAAAACAGGAACCTTTTTTAATGTAAATGAAACATCTTTTATCCCCGTCTCCACAGAAAACCAAACGTGAAATAACCATTCAATTATATTGCGGGCCGTCTGTTGTGTAAATTATAGCACTAATTAGTAATTGCTTGGAAAATAAACGCTTTTAGTATCAGTTAAGAGGGTGTCATCGTAGACGCCATTTTTTGGAAGAAAAAAATGGAGTTAAGAGTCTATAGTTTTCCCTCTAGAAATATAAGATGTGTGAGAAAATGTGCCTCTCAATTCATGAAAAACATGGTGCTTTCCCTATAAACTTGTTGTCAAAACAGAAACTATTGCATTAGGATGCGATTAAAAATGGAGGCATATACATCGCCATGATCAGCAACGTCTATGCAATTAAAATCTGCCTAATAGATGCGTCAGCATATTGTCATACTTCAATTGGTGGCGTCTCATGTCTGAAATGTTGAATGCATCTCATAAAAAAGAGATTAACGAGGCATATTTTCACCTGTCAACTGCATCAAGGATATTTAATAATCAATTGGGAGGTTTCACACACCGTCTGAAAGGAAAATTCAAACTACGAAACAATTCCTTGTAAGTTAAGCTCTTCAGCTTGTAGGGAATTGGAGGAATACATTTATAGCTTTCCAACGAAAAACACTGATAGCGATTTGGAAATGCTCTGTTTAAACTGTACATTCACGTAAAGCGGAATTGAATGGCACCCGCTCATATATAAAGCTAACACCACTTAAATATCGTTAAACAGTTTATTTCTTTCATATATGTCCCTAAAATATTTTTGTTTTGGTTCGATAACAACAGCGAAAAAAGCAAAAATATAAATTTACGTGCAATGTATACTACTATCGAACACTTTTACGGAATTTTTGTTTTGTGCGAAATGTCTTACGTTATTTTTATGTGCCCTTCAAAAATCAATTAAACTAATGGAACTTTTTTTGATTATAGGTATTAAAACTCACCCTGTCGCTTTAACAAATCATTATTCTTACAGAAAAACTAATGAAAACTAACTTGCAAGTTACGACTTCAAACTTTTAGACCGATTCCAGTGTCACGTACTTCAAGAACTCATGTAGATCATTGTAAGTAGTCAGTGGTCATTTGTGGCTGGAAAAAAGGATCGACTTGAAAAGCGACATAGAAGAAAATCGTAAACCTAAATGTAGCAAATGATTAAAACACGCTAGGCGAGCTTCTCTCCTAGTATCATATGGCAGTAAAGTTGCCGCCTTCAAAACAAGAAGCTTAATTTGGGTATAGCTTTTTCTTGTTCAGTTTTTCCTTGAGAAGTTTTCCTAGCACGAATCCATAGGAGTAAACGGAAAAATATGGCTAACGTTCCGTTGCAACGAAAAGTCCCCGTATGTATATCTTGTCATTTGCACTACAGAAAAGAATTGTCAAGAAAAACTCGTTATTATTCATGTATATGAGGCCACGAAAATGAGCGGAAAGTGCATGCAAAAAACTGTTAGCGGAGAAGTAATCGTGCGCCCACGCAATCGATTAGGGATTTTGTCTTCCTATATTGTCTTTTTGTGTGTCTATAGGAAACAGCGCGCTAAATTGGTCTGTCAAAACGTTTGTGTTATGGATGTGTTTGCACAGTGAATTTTAAAAATGCTTCAAGTTTTAGAAAATGGGCCAATCGGAGGAGAGCAGATTTTTTTAAAAAGTAGTAGATTCTTAAAACTTTGAACCAAGTTTATCTCTGTAACGAATTTTACCACGTGTTTCTTTGCTAAAATTTAGTGCAAAATTTTAAAATCATAATGCTGTAACGAATATTTGCCACGTGAATAACTGTCGTAGACAATGTTAGTCTGTACTAATAAATACAAGAAGTGTACACGCGCTCCAACGAATTTTTTGCCACGTGCTTCATTGTCTTGTAAGGTAATCAATTCTACACGGCCCTCTGAATGATTAGCAAATAACTCTGACATATACTATGCATGAATAAATATTTGAAAATTCCATGAACTCATCACGGTTTCCAATAAGTCTACAAGAAAATGAGACGGAATTCTAACCTACTTTGACCAACTCATGCACTTTTAAGAACAACTGTATCCTCTTTTTTCGTTTTTATCCTCGTTTTATTCTTTTCATCCAATTGCGTGACAGCTACAGTCATTACGGATGAGCGGTCAATGACGTATCCAGCCAACCGTATAAAGATAGAAGCACACATCTAACAACATCATTTGGAGGCAAGTTTGAATTCAGTGAAAACAAACATCTCCCAGTAACCGTTGACGTTCTGAATTTGTTTTAGCGCGGTTTGCAGAAAAAGAAGCGTGGAAGCAAAATGATGATGAAGTTGGCAATTCTCTTATGGACTCTGATGTCAGTTCAGAGTCGCCCTTATTGTAAGTTTAGTTTCTTTTTAACAGTTTTAGTTAACGCCAGTCAAGAAATCATGCAACTATATTCAACTGTACAAAATAACGACCAAACCATTTAGAGCTGAATTTAGAATATTTTTCTTTGTGGAACGGCTATTCTCATTTGGTTATTCTTTTTCGTAACATTAGTTCCAAAATTTACTTACTTTAGCAGCTGTTAAATTTTAAAACAGGAGTTTATGCAAATAGCTTTGTTGTTTCTAACGATTTGACTCTATAACTTAGTTCCTTATTGTCCACATTTAACTCTACATCCGTTTCAATTTTAGGCTGCTTCCTCCATTCCTGATAGGTTTAGAGCACGTTTTTGCGTTTTAGTTATGTAGTGTATATAACGTCTTGACTAGAAAATAATAATAATTAAAAAACTCTGCAAATTTACGTTGACGAGTGCATGTCGGATCATATGTGCCGGACGCTGAGTTTTTGTTCTTGCCATTAAAATCACGTGATCCCGGTTAGTAAATTCTTAGACATCGGAAGTCCGCGCTTTTTACCCCCTAACCACGAAATTGCCCTGTTTATTTAAGTGCAATGCAATTGTTCAGGGGAGGGGTTGAAGAAGTGAGAATACAATGGATAATAGTTGAATTCATAATCTGACACCTATCCGTTCTCAGTTTCATATTCGTGGAGTCTGGGTAAGATGACGCTCTCACGTGATAAAATGACTGCTCTCAGTGGTACCCATTGCTTTTCATGTAACGAATAACGTCACGCGCTGTTTTTTAAACTAAATTTAACTGCAATATAAATGTCTAGAAACCGGCTAGTTTGTAACTGAATTATGTTATTCAGTGTATTTAGAGAACGATGAAAGAGGTGGAAATGTGCATAGTCACATTGTACGCGTGAACGAAGATTATAATGACGAGAGTCTCAGAGGTTTCCAAGAAGACGATTCTGTTGAAGAAGAGATCGTTGCCGTTAATGAAGGTAATGCGATGAAGGACGCTTTGCGTGATGAGAAACTTTTCAGATGTTTTATAACGCTTTATAAGGAATTATAAGGCACTTTCACTGATCTATGATGAGGCGGAAACACCGACGGTTAAGAAACCTGTTTGATTTTCAAGTCATTGCCATTGGTGATTCTGGCGATGATGCCATTTATTAAGGTGGCTGAACACAGTTTTGGCAGTTTCTGAGTATAGGTCATTTGCCAAATTATGGCAAGAGAAAGGTTGCAGCTCACAAGCTGAAACTTGGCAAGTGAAAAATATACTGATGAAAGATTTTGACTGACAGGTAAAATTTGACGTTTTCGTAGTTTCCATGGCAACATGAACGATTAAATACAACCCTAAAATTTCACCTTTACTCAGTTTACTTAAAATTCGCTCATTAGATTTTCCTATAAACTCGCACACAGCTTACTAGAATTAGTCATTAACATTTGAAACTCATTTGACCAAATTTTAACGGAGGGGCTTTTAGATAATCACTAATATATAGATTTAGCCAGGGCTAAAAGCGAAGCTCCCGTTAATAAATTCATAATTTAAATCAAACAATAAACTTGTAATCCACAGATCAGGGAACATTCATTTGACTTTTGAGGCAAAGGCTGAGTGATTTTAGAGAAAAATCAGAATTTGACCGTCCAAGAGTGAAACAAATTTTACATCAAGTTATTTGTACACCGAAAAATAGCAATCATGTTCGATCACAGTAGATTAGGCCTGGAAAACAAATAGACCTATTCGTGTATTGTATTTGCATTAGCTGTAGCATCATAATGTGGCATTCACCAGTCTCTCCAACATTGCTCCGTTAGAGAGACTATGGATAATTGGACAATCCCGAAATATAATTTTAAGAAACACATGCGCCACGATAGTCCTTGGTGGCACCCAATTTACTCGTTGCATTCCCCTGTCTAAAAGAGAGGCCAAAATAAAAATCAGGCCGGATTTTTTGTGTTCGACAAGTTTAGTTTACTAGTAAATCTTGGCGACGAATCTGGTGGCGTGTAAACCAGCCTTTTAAACATACTTTTTCTCATCACGTCTCAGGTAAACAGTACACAGACCTCGGACAGAATATGTTCTTTTTTGCCCTATTTAAACCTATAATTCTGCAGTTTTTCACAATTTTGCAAGAGAATTTGCACTCATTCAATATCCACGACGACCAAAGCACGCGCTTCCTTTGCAAAACAAATTATAGCATTGAATTATAAAACGTTTTCTGTTAGAAAAATCTGGTCTTATGTGATATGCGGGGTAATAATTATGGGCTTTTAATGAAAATGATAAAAAAAATTCCCAAAATCACTTTTCGGCCAGCCGGACGGGTTCTCACTTTTGACAGGCACCAAATTTGCAGTGCGATTAATAGAGTTACCATTTACGCTTCAACATGATAGAGAAATTGTTATGTTTAGGTTTTGTTTCCCTTTATTCATTAAACTGTGTATGATTTTGTTATGTGTAATCTTTAAAAGCGAGTGATATTTACGCGCGGCGTTTTGAGTATTCCTACATGCGATGTTTATGTTCGACTGGAAACAACCGGTGCAGCGATGAAAATTGCGAGAGGGACTACTAACAATCAATAAAATAAGTTTAATTCGATGAAACATGTACAGAGACAATAATTTTCATTCACGAAGAGAAGTATTGAGAGTAAAGTGTCTCAGAAAATAATGAGTCAGGCAAGCATAAGCTTATTTATATTTTAAGCCGGCTTCCCGATGTTCGCCCTTTTTCAAGATGAACTCGAGGCAAGAAAATCGCTCAGAGCTTTCTGTTTACAGCCAAAATCATAACTAAATAATCTTCGGAACCTTTTCTTTGAATTTGCGGGTCAAAATATTTCTAAAGGCTTTTTAAACCTGATACTATTGTAGGTTAGATCATTGCTCGTGTTTTAACTTAATTAAGCCGCATAAACCATACGCTCGACTTCAGGAAACCGAAAAAAAAAACATCAAAAACAATAATGGCTCAAGCTTACCAGTCGAGATGCTGCTTCTGAAGGTCATCAAGTGTTCCAGAATCGCTTGAGACTTTTCAACCTTCTTACGCCTCAAGCAAGGGCAAGTGAGTAAGCTCATTTTTGAAAACGATGCCATCCGAAATCAGATTTCCAATGACTTTGACAAGCGGTGCATTTGTCAACAAAAAGCGCAATAAACAAACCAGCCACGAATTACAGAACAATCTTGATAGCAGCTGTATTTCATTTTGTACACCAAGTAGAAAAAGATAGTTTAAAACATCACAAGATGACACAAAACTCTCTCAGCTCCAGCTATCAGTAAGCAAGTTTCCAGACGCTGCAAAAATTTTCCGCATAAAATTTTGACCAATCAGAACATAAAAATTGGACGTAGAGCGTGATCAACGCGTGACAGTGAGAAAAGTCAAAAGCGATTGCCTTCCCTGCATGTAAATGTAAAAGCCGGTTGAATTTTCGTGTCCGAGATCAGTTCGAAATCAACATTTTAAAAGTGCGGCTCATGAAACACGACTTATTTCATATGCATTTTAAAAAAATTGAACTTGAGCCTGCGATCATTTGAAAAGTAGCAACTTGTCAGCGAATACCTTCAAAATATTACTCGAACTCAGAGGGTCGATACCTGAGCCCGCGATACGGTCAGGCGATACTGGTCAGCAGAAACACTGTTTTGACAGCTGTCAATTAATCAAAACATGGATGTTTAATATCAGGTTGCAGGCTCCCAAACTAGCTAGAAAGTGTGAGATTAAACATTGGTATGCCTGTGGTGCGGACGGACGGAAGGTCGGGTGGTCGGTGTACTGTCACGTGATTACCGAATTTTCTAGGATGGATAGATTCTCTATAAAGCTATGGGGCTTCGAATTGAGCCCGTGATCAAATAAAATATCAGCGCAAAACTTTAAACACTACGTGACCTCAATAGATAGAAAAATGAGACCGCGATCCACTCAGGTGATGATGGTCAGCGTATACTCTAGTTTGACAGCTGTCAATTAACCTTCATTAGAATGGCGAATATTCGAATTAACAGACTACGGGTGTGAGTAGGACATTTCCGTCCGGCATGTAGTGGAAAATGCCAGATCGTGTACCTGAGGGAACCTGAGCCCTCGTTATTAGTTTTCTGAAAGCGGTCTGCACATGTCCCATTTTGACAGCTGTCAATTGACCTTAATTTGGCCTGCCAATGTAACTTTAAACGACTGTCAGCCAACTGACAGCCTTGCCCGGCGTAGTTTCGTTTTTATGTTGAATTGGTAAGTGTGACATTTTATATCAGCTTATATATAGGGGCAAAACGACTGGTCTTTTATCTGAGCCCGCGAGACGGTCATGTGATAATTGTCAGCGGATGGTTGATTTTGACAGCTGTCAATCTAATCGTACTCATACGGATGGCTTACATAACTAAGAGGCTAGTCAAGGTGTGCAAGATCTATTGTGACATTTGACATCGGCTTACATAAAGTGTCTGTACGGACGGGCGTACGCTACGTCATAACCAAATTTTCTCGGATGGATAGTTTACCAAATTTTCTTACCCATGGTGCTCCGCTGCGCGCGCGCTTCGCGCGCGCGGGAGCTCCGCTAATATAATTGTACTGTAATTATTAAATGTGTCACAAAATTCGTCTGTTCAACTTCCATTTTACAGTTCTCATCATTTAAAATACGATAAAAGTAAAAATTTCGCCAAATATCACAAAATTTTATAGAGTAGATTTTGAGAAATCGTCTTCTGTGTACCATTGCTTTTTTCTCCGCCATGTTTGTTTGTCTAAGTTAAAACACACGCTACCGCTGACCGCCCGTAAAACTGTGTTCAGCCACCTTAACTTACTTTGCATATCAGAGTAAACGCACAATAGCTCTGAATTTTAAGTGGAGTCATATCGTTAACCCAAAACCCACCTGATTACTCTGGCCAATCAGAACACGAGATATATATGAGATATATAAACCAATCACGCAAAGGCAAATACACACAGTTTGTGAAAAGCGCGGGAAAAACGCGAGTGAACAATTCATAGCTGAGGTCAGTTTACTTATGATTGGTTAATCGACCTCGTTCCCGCGATCTCTCCTCTTCCTGGGAACGAGGTTGTGCAAAACGTAATAAAAACAGGTCTAATAATTTTCTATGTTTTGCTTTCTCAGCTCCTCGCAATAAGCCTAGATGTCAACTGTTCGAGGGAGACTTGTGCCTTGACGAAGGGGACAAGGCTGTTGTAAATCATAAAAGACCTGAGGCGGATATGAAGAGAAATGTCATACGCGTTCAGAAGAAACTCTGGCCTAACAAAGTGGTTTACTATTCTGTGGACGAAAATTTGAGTAGGTTCATAGAACTAAATGTAAAAATTAGACTTCATCCATATACTTGTTGATTATGGTAATGTATCGCCCCTTTTAAGGGGAATGCGGATTTCCGGAATCCGGAAAATTTTTGCTTGTAGAATCCGGAATCCTGGGCTTTGGACTCCTGAATGAAGCTCAAAGAATTAGGAATCCCTCTAACATATTCGTTTAGAATACAGCATCAAAGTTTCACTGACGAAAACTGGAATCCGGTACTTTGAATCCGGAATCCACGGCGTAGAATCCAGAATTCAAGACTGTCTTGGATTCCCTGAATAACAGTCAATCAAAAGAAGAAATTCTCAAATCAAACTGCATTTTTCTTAAAACTAAGAAAGTTTGTAACTGATCAGAGACTTTGCATAAATTTTTCCTTTTCACTAAGAAACCTGGCTAGTCCCCAGACGTCTTCGCGTAACGTGCGCGTAAGGAACAGGGGGTGATGGGAAGGGAAGAGGGAAGAAGACTCTCTCCCTCGCTTTCCTCCTTCCCATCACACCCCTCGCTCCACTAAGGAGAGACAGAGAGAGAGAGACAACCGGGGACTAGTCAGCTAATGAACCAACTCATTAAAACCAGAAACAGAAGCAAATAAGTGTGAAAATGAGAAAAACTGCTATTTTGATACACAAAAAAGCCAAGCGTTTCCCGCAGAACGGGTGCGAATACTAAATGATCCACAAAGCACAAATTTCAAGGCAGCGGGAAAATGTAGAGCACGTGATATACACGCAAACCACACCTTGAAAAAGTTGGGAGTGGCTTGACTTTTCTAGCTTTGAGTTCCCATAAAGTTTTGTGTAATCACTTACCCGGATCTCTTGTTGACGAAACCGAAGCTTCGTCAACAAGATATCGGGGAACGAGATTAAATTGCTATCTCTTTCGTAAGAGTGGGTCGGTCAAAAAAGCAAAAAGAAAAAAAAAATAAACCAAACCAGGCCAAAACTAGTTGAGCATAATACTGTAAAACCGACATTGGAATTTATGCATTAAACATTAAACATTATGGGCCAAATATTTAAACGTGGTTTAGCCAGTGTTTAACAAAACCGCGTTCTAAGTCATTTTCAATTTGCCCAACGATTTTATTGTGAACAGTTTTATGAAAGCATATAAAGAAGACTAGAAAAGCATTTATCTTCTTAAAACAACGCCCACCAAAGAAGAGATCTGGAGTTTCAAAGATTCGTTAAACCGCGGCTTAAGTTAGACTTCATTTAATATTTGGCCCTATGCATTTAAAATATACATATTTCCGACTGTAAAATCAGCAATTATATGAAAGAAGATCATCGCAGTTACAGACGCAACTTTTGCAGTTGCGAAAAGAAAGCCTGAAAAAAAATTCAGGCCTGTAAAATCAGCCTTGCTTCTTTCTGTGACTCATTTAGCATTTCTTCTCAAATTCCTTTAGGAGATTTGCGACCAAAGATTGCGGACGCCATCCGTGCATTCCATGACAAGACGTGCTTGAAGTTTCGCGAAGTTGACCAGACTTATGGAGGAGATTATGTCAAAATGCACAAGGGAAATGGGTGAGTAGAAATGAAATGCTAACAAGGGGAACTGACATTTAGCAATTACAGTAATTTCAAGCTCTTTCATTACAATGTACAAAAAATAAGTAAGGGTATTAAAATTTAACCAAATAGGAAACTCTAGTTGATTCACACTTGAATCGTCTTTGTTTCACATAGAATAACCCATTCTCTGTACATGTTTTATGCGCTAAGACCTCTGGGATCGTTTGAGTCAACAATAAAAGCAAATGATTGGTTCATGGCTGCCTTTGGATACCATCAGTCAATCAGAAATAACGCTTAGTCCCCAAACGGTGCCAAAAATGTTCGCGCCGATAATTCATACCCACTTTCTCCAAATTTTTATGTAGTTGCGAACAGACCAATACTATGGCACTGTACTGTTACCATCACAAAGTTAGCTGAATCATGATATCCTGGCCACCGAGGCCTGCCATTAAATATTTTAGGGTGAAATAACTCCATCTGGACAGTAGATAGAATCTTCGGAGATCGCACGGGCCCCTTTTTCGTTACTTAGACTATACCAACAGACATTTAAGACACGTTTCTCGTTTCTTGCAAACGATTCATCATAGTGAGTAATGAAAGAGTTCAAAGTTCCCTCATATCTGAGTTTTTCTTACGTACACTTGACTGTCATTCAGAAATTTCATAAAGAACAAACCCTGCGACGCGTGACTTTAAATTTAAACCGTGATTGGATAATTGCTTTTTTTGATTCCCGTATCGAAGCAATTCCGAAAGTGGAAATGCTCTGGACTGGTAGCTTACAGTCGAGACACATGCAGGAGAAGAAATCCAATTTTTTTGCAACTTTCTTTAATGCTGCAACCCTACATTCCATGATCTAGAGATGGCGTTACACTTCACACAAATGTCCAGTGCTGGCCACAAGATCCCTACTTTCCTTTTTCATCCTTATAGTGGGGCGGATATGTGCAGATTTGGGTCCGGATTGTTCACTTTTTGTTAAAATCACCAAATTTTCAGGAATGACAGAACTAATTATGACTATTAAAATGTGATATGGTGCCATCGCAAATTTTTCCTGTTAAACTGGTTTTTGGAGTGAAAATTAAACCGGCCGCCATTTTGACCGGAAGTATTTATCATCTAGCCGAAAGTACACAAAATTAAGCATTTTTTAAGCCAAAATAACGATCAAATTGTTTATTATATAAACTAATCGTGGCTATTAATATGTGATGTGGTGCCATCGCAAATTCTTCCTGTTAAACCGGCTTTTGGAGTTATTACTAAAATGTTCGCCATTTTGACCGGAAGTAAATATCACCCAACTAAAACTACACGAAATTTAGCACGTTAAGGTCAAAATAACGACAAAATTGTTTGTTCTATGTTTTTTCGGAAATTTATGTCATATAAAAAAGTCAACCGTGTTACAAATTAGCAGATTAAATGAAAGAACCGGAGGTAAAAGCGGGCCAAAATGGAAAATGCAACTCATTCAAAGTAACTCATTTCAGTAGTGCATTTAAAACAAATGTGAAACAATGATTCACATTTTTAAGCATAGGAAAGGCCAAACATTCGAACAAATTAAACCAGCAAAAAACAGATTATTTCTTTTTACTTGGCTTAACCCTTTAAGTCCCAATAGTGACCAACATCAATCTTCTTCTGACTCACAATATCCATACAAGGTCAAGAGATTAGGTTCTTAGAATTAATAAAATTATCACCTGAGAGAAAATGCTTTTCTCTCTTTTATCAAATTATCTCAACTTATTCTTTTAAGGAAATGTATAGAGACCAGTTTGAAGAACTTGTAAGAGTTAAAAGAGTTGATCCATTATTAACTAGAATGCAGAATGCTTTGCGGTTTTCAAAGTAATTTGAGGTATAATAGCTCCACCATTTTGTGTTATTGAGGAGTATAAATAACACCCTTTGCATGTACATATTGGATTGAAATTGCTTTCACGATAACGTCTTCTCACCTCAAAGTTTACCATTTTCAAAAAGTTTCCGGGAAATCCGTTTGGAAGGTAAATGGGTCCCCTACTCAGCCTACTCTTTACAAACAGTGTCTGGGTTCTTTAACTTCCCACAGCATTTTATATGAACAAGGACCGTGAGAAGGGGCCTACAGGTTTTTTTTTTTTTATTCCAATAAGACTAGAAAGTCTAACCGTTTGGAGATGACATTAAAAAGGCAGCACTTCTCGTCAGTTATTTAAAGATCCTGATCGATAATTGGTCTGGCCGGGGTTTGAAACCGCGGCTTCCCGCTCAGTAGACCGGTGTTTTACCCACCTGGAGCTAACCAGGCGGCGGTTTAATTCAGCTGTATTTCATGATCACTATCAAGTGAATCTGCGCCTCTCTCGACCGAAGTGAGAGTTAGTCTCTAATCTTCAATGTAACCACCCCCAGAATGCCATTTAATCATCATGGACTGAGCAGCACTGACTATCATGCTAAAGTCCACATGCAAGAAAATAAGGAAAGAGCGTTTTCCGAATGTGCATCACTTACGTTAATCCCCTGAGCATGTAAAATGTATTCTCTTGGATATAGTACGTGACAAATATGTCGCGCCGAGAACGGCTTGAAGACTAAGATCTGGGGTAAACGTGTATCAGGAGCTATACTAAGAAACTGGAAAAAGCTAGTTCTTTTGTAAAGATCGAAACAAGCGGGTGTTTTTTAGATTCCTTGCACATTGAGCAACGCATGTCGTCTAGGGCCAGACGTCCAGTCTTTTCCCTGCATCGTTTGAAGTCAATTCGCTAGAAAGCATTTATTGTTATGCTATATCACAAAGCAGATTCTCTTCTTTTAACTCTCTATGTTGTTTGTAACCGAGACATTTGCGTTGAGTCCACTCTCCGTTCTAACTACCCATGAAGCTTCTCTACCATGAAACCAAGTTAGCTTCCTTATCATATATCTTGGTACTAATGTACATCTAAGCTACCTTGCACCCTACGAGATTGCTAAAGTGTTTACTAAAAAGCTGCACTTTCACTTCCTCCGTTCCATGCATTCACTGGATGTGACAAAGTTAGTACTTCTGGTCACCTCCAGAAATAATCGGAGTTGTTTTTTCTTACACGTTCTTCTATACGATAGAAAAAGTAGTTCTTTGCCGTCAACTGACGAAGCCAAAAGTAGTTTCTTTGACCCGGCCTGCATTACTTAAACATTTCAAGGGCACGCCGAACCATGCTGGCCACATATGGAGTCAGCAGGCACTGGTACCAAGCATCTCGGTTCCAAGTCTGCAAGATTGGGGCTGGATATTTCTAAGAGGAGAGTGGTGACTCTCCTGTTGAGGGTGGAACTAGTAAAGTACGCTCGTAGGAAGGGCTATGCCTAGAAGAGTGACAATCGTGAAAGGCGATCCCCAACTCTTTTTTCGATTACAAGCACTCGCCTGCATGAAGTATCAAGTAATTAGGTCACTGAGATACCATTTGCTCTTCTTCGATATTCCGTATCAAAGCCAAAGTAGGCTGAAGTTCAGTAATGGATTATACATGATGAAAATAGTAAATTGAGCGTATACATTACATTTATAAAGAAAATATTAAAGTCAAGAAAACTAGCAGGCACAACAGAAGTTTAAGCTCATTCCTTAAAAGTTCCGACTTAGACTACGAGCAGTCTCTCTTTTTTCTGTAGTCCGTCGAGAAAAACGCGAGACACGCAAATGGCCATAAACCTGAAGAAAAAGAGAGACTGCTTGCAGTCTAGTTCCGACTCTGGTAGTTTTACTTCCGGTCTAGCTGGCGGCCACATATCATCTCTATTCTACTTTTTAGACAATTTGCGTTGAAATAATATCTCTTTGTATGAAAAAAAACAGCTGCCTTAGGCATTAGCTGACATTTTCTTATCCAGGTTGCTAAAATTCAGTTAATTTCACTTCCGGTTCAAAATGGCCGCCATAATAAAAAGTCCTATTTTTCGCACTTAACGGACTTTTTAGCGATGGCACCATATCCTATCTTTTTTAGGGCCTTGAAAACTATCATCATGCCAAATTTCATGCTTTTAACAGAAAGTGAACAATTCAAGCACATATCTGCTCTACTATTAGTTCCACACTTCTCAGAGGTGTGGAAGTGTGGAAAAGTCTGACAAAGTAAGGATATTGTCGCACTTTTCCCACAGGCACTAACCCCTTGTAATTCTTTACTTAGTTCCACACTTCTCAGACGTGTGGAAGTGTGGAAAAGTCCGACAAAGTAAGGATATTGTCTCACTTTCCCCCAGTCATGAACCCTTTGTCATTCTTTACTTAGTTCCACACTTCCCAGAGGTGTGGAAGTGTCGAAAAGTCTGACAAAGTAAGGATATTGTCTCACTTTCCCCCAGTCATGAACCCTTTGTCATTCTTTACTTAGTTCCACACTTCTCAGAGGTGTGGAAGTGTGGAAAAGTCTGACAAAGTAAGGATATTGTCGCACTTTTCCCACAGGCACTAACCCTTTGTCATTCTTTACTTAGTTCCACACTTCTCAGAGGTGTGGAAGTGTGGAAAAGTCTGACAAAGTAAGGATATTGTCTCACTTTCCCCCAGTCATGAACCCTTTGTCATTCTTTACTTAGTTCTACACTTCTCAGAGGTGTGGAAGTGTGGAAAAGTCTGACAAAGTAAGGATATTGTCTCACTTTCCCCCAGTCATGAACCCTTTGTCATTCTTTACTTAGTTCCACACTTCTCAGAGGTGTGGAAGTGTGGAAAAGTCCGACAAAGTAAGGATATTGTCTCACTTTCCCCCAGTCATGAACCCTTTGTCATTCTTTACTTAGTTCCACACTTCTCAGAGGTGTGGAAGAGTGGAAAAGTCTGACAAAGTAAGGATATTGTCGCACTTTTCCCACAGGCACTAACCCTTTGTCATTCTTTACTTAGTTCCACACTTCTCAGAGGTGTGGAAGTGTCGAAAAGTCCGACAAAGTAAGGATATTGTCTCACTTTCCCCCAGTCATGAACCCTTTGTCATTCTTTACTTAGTTCTACACTTCTCAGAGGTGTGGAAGTGTGGAAAAGTCTGACAAAGTAAGGATATTGTCTCACTTTTCCCCAGTCATGAACCCTTTGTCATTCTTTACTTAGTTCCACACTTCTCAGAGGTGTGGAAGTGTGGAAAAGTCTGACAAAGTAAGGATAATGTCACACTTTTCCCCAGTCATGAACCCTTTGTCATTCTTTACTTAGTTCCACACTTCTCAGAGGTGTGGAAGTGTGGAAAAGTCCGACAAAGTAAGGATAATGTCACACTTTTCCCCAGTCATGAACCCTTTGTCATTCTTTACTTAGTTCTACACTTCTCAGAGGTGTGGAAGTGTGGAAAAGTCTGACAAAGTAAGGATAATGTCACACTTTTCCCCAGTCTTAAACCCTTTGTCATTCTTTACTTAGTTCCACACTTCTCAGAGGTGTGGAAGTGTGGAAAAGTCTGACAAAGTAAGGATATTGTCGCACTTTTCCCCCTGTTAAGAACCCCTTGTCATTCTTTACTTAGTTCTACATTTCTCAGAGGTGTGGAAGTGTGGAAAAGTCTGACAAAGTCAGGATAATGTAACACTTTCCCCCTGGTCATACGAAACCACTGTCATTCTTTACTTAGTTCCACACTTCTCAGAGGTGTGGAAGTGTGGAAAAGTCTGACAAAGTAAGGATATTGTCGCACTTTTCCCCCTGTTAAGAACCCCTTGTCATTCTTTACTTAGTTCTGCACTTCTCAGAAGTGTGGAAGTGTGGAAAAGTCTGACAAAGTCAGGATAATGTCACACTTTCCCCTGGTCATACGAAACCACTGTCATTCTTTACTTAGTTCTACACTTCTCAGAGGTGTGGAAGTATGAAATAGTCTGACAGAGTCAGGATATTGTCGCACTTTCCCCCCAGTCACGAATCCCTTGACATTCTTTCCTTAGTTACACTCCTATGTATGAAATGAGAATAAAGCGCAGTGGGAGTATTTGTTGGTTTTATTACTGCAACTCGTTTTACATCTTTTTAAATGCTATTTTAAGCTTAGACAACAATTCTATGACTAGAAGATATTAGCCTTGTTTCACTGCCATCTGTTTGAATACCCGACCATTAAACAAGCCTACGTTTTCTCTGTCACGAAGTCCCCGTCAGTCCTTTATCTTCGTTTATTTATTTATTTTTCAAGGGAAACCTCAACAACGTCATCTCATCTATGTATTTTTATGTTTGAAATTTTTCATCTTTATGTGCCATATATGAGACGTCTTTTTTTCTGGGTTTTTCTCCTTCCTATAGATGTATTCGGCTGACTCAATGTCGTACCCAATTCAAACCTTTTGGGTATAAAACGTTTTGGTTTAGGAATTTCTATATCATTTAAATGTGAATGCCACATTATAACGCAAATACAATACACAAAGAACCTTAACCCAGGGAGCTTTTAATTGGGTACAACAGTCAGGTCTCTTACGATCGTGACAACGCTAAAAATAGGCAGTAAAGAATGCAGAGTATGTGCGTTCTATCTTCCTCGCTTTAAGATCAACTTGATAAAGTTTATAAATGCTCAAATCAATTCTTATTGTTCTATTCCTTCATCACGTTCATGACCTAAATTGGTCTAAAAATATACAGCATTCTGTATAAAGTAATAATAGTGACTTATCAGCCTAGAGTAGCTACCTGCAGATCTCTCTGCGGAAAAGGGGGATCACTGTTTACTTGCGTGTTATAGGGTTGGCAATATTTATGTTATCTCTGCGGCACGTGACAATACTAAAATATTTGCATGGTCCACCCTCCTCTTCGTCTTTAGAGAGTCACCCTTAGGTGAATTCTTTTTCGATGTTTCTTGGCCTCGAGCCGCTCGCCTCCGAGCGTGGTGTTGCTTCTTTTTCATAATTTATGTCCAGCATTTACATAACCTTAGAGAAGAGGAAAAACTGCGAAACAGTGGATATATGGCGTGATCTAACAATTATCAAATTTGAACCCGTACTGATAAGGATGAAAGCTTGGTTGGAGATCGGATTTCTTAACTTGAAGTTTCTTTCAACAGCTGGCATTGAAACAATGGTTATATCTGCTATTCAAAATAAAAATAGTTCTAAAGGAAAAATGTAAAAAACCATACAGAAATAAAACCAAGTGCTCATAAAGCGCACTGAGCTTCTCGTGACTCAGGGAAAGTGCAACATTAAACTCAACTTGTCACACTATTCTACCCTTCCACACCTCCGAGAAGTGTGAAACTAAGTAAAGAATGACAAGGGGTTCTTAACAGGGGGGAAAGTGCGACAATATCCTTACTTTGTCGGACTTTTCCACACTTCCACACCTCTGAGAAGTGTGGAACTAAGTGAAGAATGGCAAAGGGTTCTTAACAGGGGGAAAAGTGCGACAATATCCTTACTTTGTCAGACTTTTCCACTCTTCCACACCTCTGAGAAGTGTAGAACTAAGTAAAGAATGACGAAGGGTTCATGACTGGGGAAAAGTGCGACAATATCCTTACTTTGTCGGACTTTTCCACACTTCCACACCTCTGAGAAGTGTAGAACTAAGTAAAGAATGACAAAGGGTTCATGACTGGGGAAAAGTGAGACAATATCCTTACTTTGTCAGACTTTTCCACACTTCCACACCTCTGAGAAGTGTAGAACTAAGTAAAGAATGACAAAGGGTTCATGACTGGGGGAAAGTGAGACAATATCCTTACTTTGTCGGACTTTTCCACACTTCCACACCTCTGGGAAATGTGGAACTAAGTAAAGAATGACAAGGGGTTCTTAACAGGGGGGAAAGTGCGACAATATCCTTACTTTGTCGGACTTTTCCACACTTTCACACCTCTGAGAAGTGTGGAACTAAGTAAAGAATGGCAAAGGGTTCTTAACAGGGGGAAACGTGCGACAATATCCTTACTTTGTCAGACTTTTCCACTCTTCCACACCTCTGGGAAGTGTAGAACTAAGTAAAGAATGACGAAGGGTTCATGAGTGGGGAAAAGTGCGACAATATCCTTACTTTGTCGGACTTTTCCACACTTCCACACCTCTGAGAAGTGTAGAACTAAGTAAAGAATGACAAAGGGTTCATGACTGGGGGAAAGTGAGACAATATCCTTACTTTGTCAGACTTTTCCACACTTCCACACCTCTGAGAAGTGTAGAACTAAGTAAAGAATGACAAAGGGTTCATGACTGGGGGAAAGTGAGACAATATCCTTACTTTGTCAGACTTTTCCACACTTCCACACCTCTGGGAAGTGTAGAATTAAGTAAAGAATGACAAAGGGTTCATGACTGGGGGAAAGTGAGACAATATCCTTACTTTGTCAGACTTTTCCACACTTCCACACCTCTGAGAAGTGTAGAACTAAGTAAAGAATGACAAAGGG